TAGTGCTACGGCAAAGCTCCTGCCGACAGGAGTAGTGCAATGTTAGTTATACGCTACATCACCTCTACTGCAAAGCTCATACACGACAGGAGTACTACACGGCAAAACTCACGCCGCAAAAACATATACCAGTCATTACTTCTACAGCAAAGAATGAAATGACTTCTACAGTAAACACTAATACAGTCATTGCCTATACATGACAATACTTATACACGACATTTATTCTGCCACAAAAAATTATACGCGACAAAGTTATGCTCATTAATAGCCTATACAACTGTTCATGACTAGTATGAACCGCATACAAATAGAGCAAAGACTTGACCACAAGCCTTTGCTATGGAACTAATGTTGCAAATGAGTTTTTGCAGTAGAAATAATTTCGTAGCACTCCTGGTACGAGCTTCTGTTGTAACACTGATGTTCTGGAACCGTATAAAAAATAGAAGAAGAAAAAATTCTATCTTTTTTAGCATTTCGGTCGTGGAACCGTATAAAGACGGAGCAAAAGGTTTGACTACAAGTCAATGCTGCAGCACTAATATCGCGTATATGTCTTTGCAGTAAAAGTAATGTCGTATATAAACAACGGTTATAACATATTTTTTGGTAGGTGATACAAAGCATAGGTTTTTTAAGCCAAATTTGTTGTCGTGTACCACGGAATGTCGCGTAAATGTTGTTGCGGTAGAAGTAATGTTGTGTTTAGGTGATGACTGCATTAGCGTTTGCTGTAGAAGTAATGACGAGCATAAGATTTGCAGTACAAGTTTTGTCGCGTAGCATTCATGTCGTGCATAAGTCTTGGCATTAGACGTAATGTCGTAGCATCACTGTCGGTAGGCGTTTTTGTCGTGGCACTAATTTCCAGGAATCGAAAAGTAGAGATAATACCTTCACTTTTCCAGTTTCACCACCAGATTCCAGCGCAAGTGCGCCATACTGTAAATGCTAATCTGTTCCTATTGTCGATCTGAAATCGGCTTTTTTGATGCATCGTCATTTTCGTTTACCCGTTGTCCGCCACTTAGCATCAACCACTTGGCCGACGATGCGCGGCCCAAGGACACCGCAACGCTACGTTTTTGTTTTTTTATGACTTGCGAGCACGCACTTTCAAAACCATGTGCATCAGTTTTCTCAGCAATCGAATACGGCGAAACGCTGAAAATTTCCTTGCGAACATGGGTTGGCCATGTTAGTTCAATTTTGTTTTGCCTGATTTCGGTCTTCAATCTACGTTACCGGGGAACCTTGATATGTTTCTAGAACTCAGAACGAAATGGGACAAAGCCTCTGAGTTCTATCGTTTCAGGAAAAAATCACCAAACCATTGTAAAATGAAGAATGTCTCCGAATTATTCCCTGCAGACGTTGAAATTCCGCTTCCTTCGGTTTATTGCCTTCAGAATACAAATATAATTTGGTCTTTCAGTAGTTTCTGGGTTCTGCTCCAACAAAAAAAGGTAAAAATAAGAATAAACGAACAAAATCATGCCCTCCTTGAAATCGTGGAGCGGGCTTTCACCATTAGGAGACACTTTGTGAATGAAGTGCCCCCTCCTCCCCCCCCCCCCCCTTACCAAGGCTCTAGTTGGGCTCGTAGCCGCGAGCTTGGGCCGGCAGGGCCAGCCGCTAGCGGCGATTTAGGCTCACCCCACGCGCACCGCTTTCGACTGTTTGCGGTGGCGGTGTGGTTGCATTGTTGTGACCATTGGGCACACGAGGGCCGCGCAGACATGGCAAATAGGCCGGCCGGTAAGCAAACGATGCTCGCCACCGACCGGGTCGGCAAGCGGAGCTCATTGAGTGGACCACGCCCGCTCGCTCAATGGAAGCTGTTGCAACGGCTTTGGAAATGTTTTCTCTTTTGCCAACATAGGTTACTAATGGCGCGCGCCGACGCGGGTGTGCTATTTGCTTTGGTGCACTGGGCCTGGTGGCACTGACTTTTTAGCGCTTAAAAGTCGTCGACCTCACCCGACGGAAATATGATCGTGTAAGCGTGCAAGCGCGCAAATAAACTTGCATCCAGGTAACACAAAGCCCAGCGCATCGGCTTTTTGGCCAAGCTAAAATGTCTGATATTGCAATATCGCCTGAGATTGCAGCCGTCATTTCCCTAACGTTGGGCTAAGGATTAGAATGGTTTCTTGATCACTGGTAGCTGGGGAAAAACGAAGGTGCTAATGCTATATTTACATAAATTTTGTCCTTTTAATAGGTATTTTTAGTTTTAAATTCTTCTCCGTTGTTTATATCAGTTTGAAACGAACTTAATCTTCTTAAGAATATTGTGTCTGGCGACTTCTCAACAACTATCATCTCGCATACAACGTACCGACTTGCAAAATCGAAAATATTTGAGTATGTCTGAAGTCTGACAAGTAGCCAAGAAGCCAGCCTATTTTCCAGCGATGCGCAACAATGGAGCATTCGACAGAGAATCAGTTCACCTGGAGCTGGCGTAGCGGCTCTGTAACCCATAAGGTTGTTTTTGCAAGTAAAAAATATCAGTTTGTGCTCATACCAAGCTCCTCTCGTACCTTTCCCAACTCAGAGCATATTACGTGGGCCCATATTCGAGCGATACACAGTTGACTCAGTGATATCCGTCTCCCGCAGCATTGCAATAGTACAAAGTTACAGAATTCGAGTTTCTCCCTGAAAACGGCTATTGCTAGAGCACGCAATGTTAGAAGAAACACAAAACATTAGAAGAAAGGTTAAAACACATTAGATCTTTAACCCGCGCTCGGGTGGGGGGTCAAATTTACACCCCGAATATTTTTCCAGAATAGTTTCCGAACGGCACGGCGTAGCCGCCCCAAATTTTGCATAGCTGCAGACAACTAAATAGCGAATCGTTTGGTGAAAAACTGGATGTACCATGTAAGGTCACTGACCTATGGCAGGTCGAAGTCAGGCCATGGTTTCAGCGAAGGGAATTTCTAGGGAATCGTTCAATCTGATGGAACAGCGGAGTGTTAGACGAAGCCATACATCTCTGCAATGTTTTCTTAGACAATACAACAATTGAATGAGCAAATTGGATGGACCTAAGGTCAGGTATGAAGGTCAAACCAAGGTCAATGTCAACCTGTTTAATTACTCTCGGGCTTGCTGTATGGGATAGTTTCTGGTGCTCATTTCGGATTTATCGATAGCAGGAACCTCACTTTTCATCTTCCATGGACTTCTCAGAGATCAGAATAGGTCATTAACCTAAACTGACCCAGGTCAACATTTGGTTTTTAGGAAAAAACTGTCTAAGGTAAACTTTGTCACCAACTAAAATGCAAAAATCAGAGCAGTCTTGTATGATTTTGGTCACCATGACCTTCAAAAGGTCAAGCAAGGCTATTGACCTTAGAGGAGCATGTGACCTTTTCTTAGAAACAGTTATCTAGATTCTAGGGTCACTTTTGCGGCCAACCTGGAATTTGACCTTGTTTAACCTTATTTGACCCAAAGGTCATGGCCGAGGAACCTCAAACTTTGAACTAAGTGAGTTCACGTACAGGTCAACATACCCTGTGAATTTGGTGTTTCTAGCTCCCATAGTTCTCGAGATCTCAGGGAAGTCAAATTGACCCCCACCCGAGAGAAGGGTATCCAGCCGGCCACCCGGGCGCGTGTTAACAAAAGCCGCAGAATGTTTATGTTGGTGAATTTGGGATATACAAATTTTGATATAGTGTTTACGGGAAGTCGATAGCTTGCAGCAAACTGGCTAGGGTGTAACTGTATAAAAAGGTGCCACCGAATTCAATTAATATTCTGCTGGTTGTAAATGTAAGATTGTAAATGTTATCGCCATATGGCAGTAACTGTCACAAATGTTTTGGCTAATAACGATGACGATGGCTACTGCCCGGTAAATATACAGTCAACGTATTGTAGGCCCTTTCATGAAGATTTGTGATGCGAGACTTTAAAAAATCGAAATGTCGTCAGCATTTCTTTGCTTAAACGACGCAACTTTTACCAACAATTTTGCCTGGAAATGTCTTGCAGAGAATTCAGGCCATATTAAGTCGTCTATTTATGTTGAAATTATGCTGGCTACCTGCGGGCGAGATCATATTTTCATGGACAGGTGTGATGCCTTGTGTATACTTTTATGATGCCAGATCTCTTTCGACCTAAACTTTTCAAAACGTTTATAAAAACGTTCGGTGACATGTCTCACGCAGATGCGTCAAAACAAACTCCAGTATCCTGACCTCTGTTCACAGACATTCTTTACATACGGCGCTTACATAGCCGAACACGATCACAAGAAATGATCCTTGAATTACATGAACCTCTACGCCTGCCTTGCTCCAAACAGTACAGATGTATACAATAATGACATTGCTAGGATCCAACGGTTTCGTCCGATCTCTACTGCTGATTGTCAGGCCTGGTGATCGCCTAGAATAATGAAATGAAGGCATTGCTTGAATGAAAAGAGAGAGGGATATATATATATATATATATATATATATATACAGGTTTTTTTCTGCTGATAAGCCGATTCTTAGTCAGATATACTGGCTTTGGATGTGTGATATCAAAGACACTACTTAACAACAATCATTTTCTTGTCAATGTTTAGCATATACTAAACCTTCATGAAAACATTTCAAAAACGTTTAAATATATGTTCAGTGTATTAATCTATCGTGATGACTGATGCTAAATTTGTCGAGGATTTGTCATATTCATTTAAGATGATAACATTGTGACTGATGGCTGTTCTTGTGACTGTGATCACGAATGCGATGATGCGTGCTATGGTGACGGTGTTTGTCAAATTGCTGACAAAATGGCCGGCGTTGACGGTCGGGTAATGGTCTGACATGGAAAGCTGAAGGGGTATACTGTGTGCACACTAAAACTGGCACTGGGTTATCACGGAGGAGTGCAATGCTGACGCCAGCCGGCAGGGAGGGGGTGGCTGCCGCGTCGGGCAGGCGGTGCGGCTGGTGACGTGGCCGGGCCGGTGCCGGCAGTGCCGCCCGACATCGTCAGCTCCGAGTCCAGCAGTGACCGCAGTCTGGCTGAGGGCGACTCGGCTCGGCTAACCTGCACGGCCCGCGGCTACCCGCCACCCACTATCACCTGGCGGCGCGAGGACGGCCAGCCCATCTACGTGCTCGGCGACTTCCGCAACGGCCAGAAGGGTGAGAGAGAGAGAGAGAGAGAGAGAGAGAGAGAGAGAGAGAGAGAGAGAGAGAGAGATGAGAGAGAGGAGGGAGAGAGAGAGAGAGAGAGAGAGAGAGAGAGAGAGAGAGGGGGGGGGGGGGTGAAGGCAAGGGTGAGGGAGAGGGCGAGGGCGAGGGCGACGTGGCCGGCCAGACGCAGTCTGACTCCTAACAACACGGACAGCACACAACCAGGACTGGAATGCCAGGGAGGTCACAGAGTGGTGTTTAGTGAGCCCGCGACGCCAGTGAGAGTGCAGGGCTTGGCTCAACACATAAGCCGTCACGCCACCCTGAACAACCTCGCAAAGGTTGAGGTCGTGTTATCGATCTCAACATATGCTTCGGTGTTCTGTTAGAAACGTTTTCTCATTGAGCTTATGTGCTTGCCTGAGAGAGCAGGTGGGTAACGAAGCACTGTTAGAAAGATATTTGGTTCAGTTAGAAACATCTGACGTTCTCAGTGAGCATCCAAGAAGTTTTTTTCCGTGCAACCACGGCCGAGAGAGTGTGCATTAAATTCATCCTCCTGTGCTTTAGTTTCACTGCTATGATATCCGATACTTGGCGGCGCTGATGAATTGGCACGATACCATTTACGTGCATCGCGAACTAAGGCAAACGTTAATGTGATCTATAGTAACAGTGACACTTAGTCGCCGTCCCTCGGCAAACCCGTGTTTGCGATGCTTCATGCGGCGTAGAGAGCGGACCGCCGTGCGTCGGTGTGAGGGCACCCGGCGCCGCCTGCCATACTGGTGATCCAGTCTTCTTCATGCGGCAGTGCGACAGGTGACGGGCAGCACTCTGAACTTGACCCGGGCGACGAGGCGTCAGATGGGCGCCTACCTGTGCATCGCCAGGAACGACGTCCCGCCAGCCATCAGCAAACGTATCTTCGTCTACGTCAACTGTGAGTGTGCCGCGCGCCGCGAACGGTCGGGCTGGAGCTGTGAGGGTGCCGCTCGCTGTGAACGGTGGGGCCAGAGCTGTGAGGGTGCCGCTCGCCGTGGCGATGGGGCCGGAGCTGTGAGGGTGACGCACACCGCGAACGGTGGGGCCGGAGCTGTGAGGGTGACGCACACCGCAAACGGTGGGGCCGGAGCTGTGAGGGTGACGCACACCGCGAACGGTGGGGCCGGAGCTGTGAGGGTGACGCACACCGCGAACGGTGGGGCCGGAGCTGTGAGGGTGACGCACACCGCGAACGGTGGGGCCAGAGCTGTGAGTGTGCCGCTCGCCGTGGCGATGGGGCCGGAGCTGTGAGGGTGACGCACACCGCGAACGGTGGAGCCGGAGCTGTGAGGGTGACGCACACCGCGAACGGTGGGGCCGGAGCTGTGAGGGTGCCGCTCGCCGTGGACGGTGGGGCCGGAGCTGTGGGGGTGCTGCGAGCCGCGGCGATGAGACCGAAGCTGTGAGAGTGCCGCTCGCCGTGGCGGTGGGGCCGGAGCTGTGAGGGTGCCGCTCGCCGCGGACGGTGGGGCCTGAGCTGTGAGGGTGCTGCGAGCCGCGGCGATGGGACCGGAGCTGTGAGAGTGCCGTTCGCCGTGGACGGTGGGGCTGGAGCTTTGAGAGTGCCGTTCGCCGTGGACGGTGGGGCCGGAGCCGTGAGGGTGACGCTCGCCGTGGACGGTGGGGCCGGAGCCGTGAGGGTGACGCACACCGCGAACGGTGGGGCTGGAGCTGTGAGGGTGCCGCCCGCCGTGGACGGCGGGGCCGGAGCCGTGAGGGTGCTGCGAGCTGTGGACGGTGGGACGGGAGTTGTCAGTGTGCCGTGCGCCGCGGACGGTCGGACCGGACGCTGCCAGTGTGCCGCGCGTCACGAACGATCGGGCCGGACGCCGGCATGGGTGCCAGGTTGTGCCCGCCCCACCGTCCCAGGGCAACACTGATTGCCGAAACAGTCAACCTCTCCTAGTATCCTGGGTGAAGGCTTGGGATCAAGATGAGGCGTTCGTGGTAGATCACCTGTACAATTTGTTGTCTCTGTGCCTATCCCAGGAAATGATTAATGCACCCCACATATTCATACCTTGTGAAATAATTCACCTGCAATTTCCATGATCATTGACAGCAGCGTATATTTGTGTTGCATTCTGGGCTTTGTTAACAAAAAAGCATGATGTCAACGTGTACCTATACAGTTCAGTAGTATACATATATATATATATATATATATATATATATATATATATATATATATACATGTATATATATATGTATATATATATATGTATATATATATATATATACATATATACATGTAGATATCATAAACTGCCGTTGCAGGGGTGTGTTGTCGTACCATGACATGCCAGTGCCTAGCAAAAACATAAACATATCAATTAGACCGGACCATGTTTCAACATTTCAGGACTAGTACATACTCGTGCTTTGTCAGCCTTTGTGTTAGAATCCTGGGGCAGCGGCCATCACTTACGTGCATGATCTGCATGATCCCGGGCAAGACATTCCATCAACGTATTGCTATGTCGTATAACGTATTTAGGCATGACAAATGTATCATATGCAAATGCCTGGATCACTGATAGGGATCCGGTCATATCGAACATCTAAGAGGAATCACGGTGGCAATGGCACGATGTTGGAAAACAAAGCTTATTTTTCCGATCTATCCGCTTTAGAGAACATGCGGCATCTCGCTTTGCGATTTTAGAACACTGTCTCACGTCCTTTGTCGGAAAATATTAGTTACAAAGATATCAGAGGCAGCTGGTACTTTCAGGAGGCAGAGCGCTGGCTTGGTGAGTGCGGGAAACAGTGTTTTCTCTCAGAGGAGATCCCCAGACCCAGTGGGGGGACGCACTGGAGAGAGGACCCAGTGAAGGGTCGCGCTGGAGAAAGGACCCATTGGAGGGTTGCGCTGAAGAGAGGACCCAGTGGAGAGACGCGCTAGAGAGAGGATCCAGTGGAGAGATGCGCTGGAGAGGGATCCAGTGTAGGGACGAGCTGAAGAGAGGACGCAAAAGTATCAGCCATTTTCCCCACAAATAACGAAAAAAAATAATAGTTGGTTTGAATCGCAGGCCGTCTCCGTTCCACGTCCATTTATAGAAGATTTCTGCATTTAAGATTATAATACTGTGAAGGAATTGTGCGATCGTGTAATGTTAAAGTTGTTGAAATTTGTAATGTATATGTGCTTCGAATTGTTTCGCATGCTGAGCTAGCGATGGTGGTATGTTATGCTGATGTGACGCTCCTTGCGGCAGTTCGGCCAGAGATCGAGGTGCAGCAGCAACTCCTCGGCATCATCCTGGGTGGCGATGTCACCCTGGACTGTCACGTGGAAGCTTTTCCCAACACAGTCAACTACTGGCTCAACCAGAGAGATGAAATTCTTCTCGGAGGGTAAGAGGACGGCGTCAGTGATGACACGCGGGAGCCGTGGACCGGCCTGGGAAGGCCGTAGCCGCCTGCTCATGTCTACGCTGACGGCTACTGTGTGCCGTTCGCCTATGTCGTCTGAGGTCACTTCACCGCTGGCAGTGCCACGTATGGCAGTTGTTACCGCGCCGAAATCAGCTGGCGGTTTCATACGCATTTTTGAAGTTGTTGAACCGAAACCCAAAAATGTGCGAACAACCGCGGGTGGTCACTATAAGTGCATCAATTGCGGACGATAGCATCAGCAGCAATCGAACCCAGGAATACGCGAATAAGCTAAGTTCGTCATTGCACAGAAGATGCAGGCAGTAAGAGCAGTCAGCGTCCCGCGTAGCGTCCGGCTCGTCTTCACCCGGAGGTGTGTAAGCCGGTGTCGCGCGCTTACACCTCTTGTCTGCTCAGACGGGCTCCGGTGGGCCCGAGACTCATTCACCCCTCACGGCCACACGCATGTGCCCCCCCCCCCCTTCCCCACACGCACATGGCTAGCGAGGTGTGGAGCTCCTGAGGGGCTAGGCATCTCGCACAGCACAGGACAGATGTGACTGAATTACGTCCCGTGTCTATTGACCACAGTTCGTACAGATGGGTTAACGCCCGGCATGTGTATTCCTGGTGAACGGGGTGACCTCACAGGCTCTGCTGTCAGTGCCGTAATGTGCCTAATGTGACTGTGGCCATCTTGCCGTAATGACCAGTGACAACGCTCAAAAGGGTAAATACTTTTGTTCCATTAATCCGTGTTGTATCAGGTACTGAACAAAGTCACATCAGTGGGGGAAAGGGCGTTAGATAGACCTTTCAGATCTGTAGGATATGTGCACGTACAGACTAAATGTCATCATCTTCAAAAAGTGAATTTTTTGTCACAAAGTTCCACGTGATATCCAAGGTTGAGATAGGTTGGGCCCTGGATGTTCTGACTTGAAAAATAAACAGCTACAATATTAACGCATTTAAGAGTGAGGTAGTGGAGAAGCAGCTCGAAAAACCTGCGAGAAACAAAAGTTAGATGTATTTTTAGCACAATGTTACCGACATGACTTCGCGAAGAGGTAAGCGATCGTAAACCATCAAGCTTAAAAGCTAAAAATGTAACCAAATGTGTAAAAAATGTAAGCTCAGGTACACGGTATTTCAACAACTTGCTTTAACCCGACTTTATTCCCGGAAAACGTCAGGGGGCTCCTGAGGCTCCTTTGCGGTTGAGGGCCAAGCATTCGCAACGTTCCATTTGGGTCGCACGAAAAAACGTGCCATGGCATCAAGCTTGAGTGCGCTTGACAAAGCTCCTAACGCCTACTTTCTTCCTGTTCTTATTATGTTTGGTCTATCATGAACCACGTGGACCTCACACAGAGGCGCGGGGACGTTTTAACGTGAACACCTAAGGCACCTTTAAAAAGGGACAAGTATCTCCACCCATGGCATTTCATTTGCTTTAGTACGAGAGGGTGCTGAGTATTCTAAGCATGACGGCAGTGAATAGGTTTGCGCTGGGTGTACTGCCTTTCAGCCACAATCGGTTATGCATTAGGGGCTGGCTCCTGTCGTTCGACGCGCACGTGCCGAGCTGGGGGAGGCTGCTCCTGCACCTCCCAGAGGCTATCGTCTCCCGTCTGATGATCTTAGCCCAGCTGACATCAGTCAGTGGCCATTCACACACAGCGGACCTTCATCCACTTATGCGGCCATCATTCACTGTGCGTCCTCATCACTCCAGGCACCCTTTGCGTTTCCCGGCCGCCGGCTGCGCAGAGGGCGAATCCCAGGTTGGGGCGCGCTGCCGATCCCGCTGGGAGGGATCACCGCTGGAGAATCAGTACACACGGGACGTGAAGGGCCCGGCGCCTGACGCGTCCAGGACCTGCCGTTAGCGTCAACCATCACGATAACCGAAACACTGCTGGCAACGGCGGGCACAGACGGTGGACAACGGGCACAGACGGTGGGAATCAGGGCAGACACACGGTGACGGGGGGTGGGGGGCATAACATATGCCCACTTTACTGGAAAACACCAATCAGACCGTACTCAGCAATTAAAGAGGTAGTTATTCGACCCAATACCTGCCTTCATCCAACCATTTGTCACACCTGAGCTCGCCTCTGATGCACATCGAAGACAACTTGTGAGAGAATAGAATTCCACCTAATCTTGTCTAGCCTATAACTATAATCCAGCTAACTAATCTATCCCCAATCTAACCTAAAAGCGACGGTGTCTACTGTTCACACCGTCCCCTCTTTTTGCTTTGCATCCGGTTTTCATGTTATCATGTAATCCTGGTTTTATCTCGCCTGCCGGAATTTTAAGTACACACATACTGGTACATACTTGTACACATAGGTACATGGCATATGCCATACTGCATCATGTTCATAATGGGAAATAATAAACAACCCAGTGATCTCTGAATGGCCAAAGAATGACTGCGGCTACTTAACATGGGTATACGGAAGACGACTGATTTCAGCAGTTTACTTCCGAAATAAAGCATTGGTGCCGCCTCTGAGCAATGTATTGCTTCAAAATTTGGCACGTACAAACGCCTGCTGAGGAAAACACGTCGAAGTTTAGGGAGATGTGAAACAACTTCTGGAAGTGACGATCAAAAACATGAAATGAGAGGATTGCCTTACCCCCAGCACGGGACAGGCTAAAATGGTCAGAATGGAAAAGATCTGGTGCCGTTCTACTCCTGTCGGGCATGTCATGAAAATACCGATGTGGGCATGGCCCGGAAACTTTCCGAAAGGGCTACTATCAATGAAAACTTGTGTGTTTCGCGGCCCCAGGTGATGTCAGTTTTTGTAGGTACAGACCAGTACATTGTGTGCTAAATGATGGTGCAGTTTTTATGGAAACCGCCGCATTGGTTCTACCTGTTCAGCTTTTATATTTGTTCCGATTGATGATGTTTCGTCGATTAGCAATGCACATGCTGCATGTTTTCAGGAAGTTATCATACAGGACAAGCCGGTAAACAAAGAGTTGATTCTGGGCCCTCCGTCCTCGGGCCCTTCCTCTCGGCCTTCCCCGGCCTCCCCACTGGCCTCCCCATTGGCCTCCCACTGGTCTCCTCGGGCAGCTGCAGCTGGTGGCCGCCGACATCTCCCTTCCCCGGCCTCCCCACTGGTCTCCTCGGGCAGCTGCAGCTGGTGGCCGCCGACATCTCCCTTCCCCGCTGCCCACAGGCAGAAGTACAGTCTGTCAGAGCAGAAGCGAGGCTACCGCGTCATCATGCGCCTGCGGATCATGCGCGTCAGCCGCGCAGACATCGGTGTCTACCGGTGCTTCGCGTCCAACTCGATGGGCACGTCAGAGGCTTCGATCCGGCTGCATCACATGCAGCGGCCGCCGGCGCCGGCCGGCCACGGCCGCCAGACGGGTGCGCGCCACACGGAGGCGCCCATCACGGCGCCGACGCCCAGCTCGGCGGCCTCCCGGCGGCCGGCGGACCTGACCACTGCCCTGCTGGTCGTCCTCACTCGCTGGCGCTGACGGGTGGCCTCGGAGCCGCGCTGCTGGCCGCGACGGCTTGCTGGCACTGACGGGTGGTCTCGGAGCCGCGCTGCTGGCCGCGACGGCTCGCTGGCACTGACGGGTGGTCTCGGAGCCGCGCTGCTGCTGGCCGCGCCGGCTCGCTGGCGTTGACAGGTGGCCCTGGAGCCGCGCTGCTGGCTGCACCGGCTCGCTGGCGCTGAGAGGCGCCGTCATCACGAGCGCAGGCAGGCCACGGCTGGCGCAGCTAAGCCGCCGCCCGCACAGGGGCTGGCTGGGGTTTACTGGTGCCGCCTGTCGCGCGCAGGAGCTGACTTGGGTTCGTTGGTACCGGCTGGCGCCCGCAGGAGCTGGTGCGGGTTCGCTAGTACTGACGGCGTCCGCGGGCGCCGCTGCGGGGGCTGGCTTGGGTTCGCTGGTGCTGGATGGCTCCCGCAGGAGCTGGTGCGGGTTCGCTAGTACTGACGGCATCCGCGGGCCACGGCGGGGGCTGGTTTGGGTTCGCTGGTGCTGGCTGGCGCCCCAGGAGCTGGTGCGGGTTCGCTGGTGCTGGCTGGCGCCCGCAGGAGCTGGTGCGGGTCTGCAAGTACTGACGGCGCCCGCGGGCCACGGCGGGGGCTGGCTTGGGTTCGCTGGTAAAGCCTGGCGTGCCGTTGTGATTGATAGGTTTATTTGGAGTCGACCTGATCCCATCGTATCGTTATCGACGATCTCCCTATGCAAATTTTTGTTTGAGATGCAGTCGGTGTAGCTCCGGCTGCATGCGAGACGGTGAGGCTCCTGTTTTTCCCGCCGAACTTTGTGCGAAAGCGCGACGGATGGAGTGGGTGCTTTGCAAGCTGTGGTGCGCAGTTGTGTGCGGAGAAGGGGCAGCCTTGGCGTGCACCGAATACTTGGCTCAACCTGACTGTACCATGTAAACCCCGTCTTTCTGTCGGACCTACCGCTGTCGTCGCTCGAACGTTTCTATTATCTGGCAGAATACAAATGTGCAATATTGTGGGCGGATGGAACGTCGATACCCATTGAGAGGAGATCAAGATTTTTACGAACATGAACAATATACGTGTGACGGGGACCTTGCGGTTGCCGAAGGGTATTCTGTACAAAATGGAATATTATCCGAACCTTTTGAAGGGATGAATATCTGGGATGAGAGCTCACGTTAAGCAGTGCTTATTGTGTCAGCCCTGGCACATACCATACGGTAGCGCAATTCCACATCAGTGACAGAATGTGCTGGCCAAAGTCTGACGTGTCGCAAGGCATAGCGCGGTCTGTCCCATCCCTTTATCTCACCTGACCTTTCACCCGGCCGGTGCCACCGGCCGCAGGACATACCTGTGAAGGCCAAACAGCGAGCGCTTAAAGCGACTCGAAACTACCACGCCACGGGTGGGTGATCGGAAGACAGGCACTCTAACCAACTAAGTCAGCGCGGCGGCATTTGGCACGCTTGTGCTCGCTTTCAAGGTCCGTGGGCTTTTCTTGCAAACAACTTTTGAACTACCGAAGGTAGCGTTGCTGCAATTACCGCCAACTAGCTTACAACGGTTTTTACTCATTTTGTAAAACCATGCAAATATTTTTCCGTGACAGCTTGAATCTCGACTTTTATCTCCACGTTATGACGGTATGTTTTGGACGAAAGAACCCAACAACATACCTAAGACGTAGGAATGCTTTCTCGAGCAATGCATTGTAGTTATTGGCTGTTTTTTAACACACCGTAACGGTAATCGCAGTTTGGCAAGCGTTATCCAGTGCGGTTATTTCCTCGTATCATATTTAGTTTTTGGGATAACTGGGCGGTGTCCAGGCGCGCAAAGGTTAACCCATATGACGTGATTTAGCATATTGCGGACCAACACACTGATGTGTTATTTGCGAATGCAATTCGGTTTGTTTTCAAGAGGCATCATCTCGACTCTTCTAAGTGTCAGCACGCATGCTTACTTTCGAAGTTAATAAACGAATAGGCAGGGGTAATGTAAGAAGACCTCTAAATTTGGGAGGGGAAGATAGCATCTTTTGCTGTGTCATTCCAGTCAACGCCAATTATGCAGTGATCCCATAGTTTCCGCGTCCCTGCGTATAGACCCCCCATGTTTAATCCGTTAATCCGGTCTGACCGATCAGAGATGGCCTCCACTGGCGGCTGATCAAACTAGCATGATGCCGCTACGACTTGCGAGAGCATTTAACTCACCTTGCTGGGGTTCAT